AAGCCCAGTGCGATCAGGGTAAGAGCACAGTACAGTGCAGTACAGCCCAGTGAGATCCAAGTAAAGCACAAGTGTAAAGAAGGTTTTCGACCAATTCTGAGTATATTATATGTAATTCGTGTTGTTTTGTCATTTCTTTTCGTGCAGCAATCTTTAGTTTTAACGCGGGCTGAAATGAAGGAGAATGAAGTAGACTTCGCAAGCTGAGCTTTGGAAGTGTGCGCGATGCTGGGGAGCGGTGCGGGACTCTCCCCCCTCCCCCCCCTCTCGAGACTGGGGCTTTTTCTTGACGAGTCACGGTCTCGCCCTGGTCCGCAGCCCTTCGTGAGACAGAAGAACTAATTCCTAGAAGCGTATCTTCGTCTCGCTGAGGAAGTGAGCACATTGCGAGGAGAGAGGGGGGCTGTGAGCCCGGTGACGTGGAATTCCTGACGGGGGCGCTGCAGGCCGACTCTCCAAACGCGAAAGGAGGGTTTTCATGGACAAGCCGGCAGTTGAGCTGCCGTTCGCTCGTCTGACATTTGCGTTTCTGGAATTTCTCTTCAGTAAAACAGTGGGGAGCAGCATAATTTACTAACAGAGCTACAGATGAACTAGCGAGCACGTTCCCAGGAGCAGTGTCCCTCAAAAGCAGAAGAGAAAAGAGAAAAAGGCGAGTGCGTAATAAAAGTACACAATTCCCGGTCTCGGACTGGCTTCACGTTGTTTTTCCAAGCTAAACGGCGCCACCTCGTGGGATTGCCGAGCTCGGCACCCTCTTTATTCTGTCCGCGGAGTTCTGAACTGACGGCTGATCTCTTTTTACACGCTTTGAAAATGCGCCGTTGCTTTTGCATCTTCGGCCTGCTAGCATTTACGTGGTTGCCTCTTTCAATCATGATTTTGTTCAATAAAAATTACACGAGTTCCTTATGTTTCCCATCTGCTGTGTGTGTGTGTGAGGGCACTATTCCACCCACAAGCAAGGCACTACATATGAACAAGTAATAGGTTTATTCCATGCTGAAAAAAAGAAGAAAGAGAACACAACGTTTCGGCCGTTCTCTTTCTTCTTTTTTTCAGCATGGAATAAACCTATTACTTGTTCCTTTGCAGCCTACGCCCGCTGACGCAGCTCCCCACCTGAACTACAGACACTACATATATACTACATTTAGCAGGGCAGGTGCCTGCAACCACTGTATTGCACAGGTCCAGTCCAGTGAGTTATCCATCCATTTTATAATGATTCTTCCTCCACACTACAGGACCGAGAGGGACCCAGAGTCTGTCAGGGCAAGGGAAGGGTGCAGGGCAGGCTACACCCTGGACAGGATGCCAGTCCATCACAGGGCAGACACACACACTCACAGCAGGGCCGATTTTCCCGGGAGCCACTATCCCCACACACCAGCTCTCAGTGGGGAGGAGAGCAGAGGGATGAAGCCAGTTCACAGATGGGGATTATTAGGAGGCCATGATTGGTAAAGGCCAGGGGGAAATTTGGCCAGAACATCGGGGGTAACGCCCCAACTCCTTTAGAGAAACGCCCTAAAAACGACCACAGAGAGTCACAGATCGCAGGGTGAGCGCCCCCCTACTGGCCCATCTAACACCTCTTCCAGCAGCAGCAGCCTTAGTTTTTCCCAGAAATCTCCCATCCAGGTACTGACCAGGCTCACACCTGCTGAGCTCCAGTGGGCTGCCAGCTGGGAGCTGCAGGGTGATGTAGCTACTGACATTACACTACATACAAAATAAATACATACAAAAAGCTCTGACACAGAGTCACACAGTGAATACTGAATTGCACGGTAAAAAAAAATGAATGTTACTATTAATTGTTCTGCAAAGACTTTACGCTGAAAAGAGAAGTTGTGAAACTTTGTTCTGCTGCGTTAACAATAACAAAGCCTTTCGACCAATCACATGCGGCCGGGGGCGTTGTTAATAGTAAACAGACGGCCCATTAATCCAATTGGACCTGATATTACAGGCAGAAAGGAGATTGGCAACGCATTCTATCCAATAAAATTAATGAAATAACTTAGGATTCCGCCTCTTTGTCCGGTAAACAGCCAATCATTCAGCGCCTACAGAGAAGTGGTGGGTGGGACTCATCCCTAAGAAAAGGTATCAGTCGCGGAGGGTAACAGGTTGAATGACGGAGCTGTGTCGCCGAGGGTTTGTTTTTTTATTTTTTTTTTAATGAGACTTGAAAACAACGACAAGAGAGAAAAGATACCGCAAGAAAAACGCTTATAACGTCGCTTATAGCAAGGGACCCACCATAAAAGACATCTCTTCTTTTCGAAGGAGGAGCGGATCGGTGACTTCGATCGGCAGGTGAGTGAACCCCGGGTCGGGCTGTCCGCTGGGTCGGACCCGGGCTCAAGACTCGGTCCGGTCTTCCCCGGAGTCGAGGGAAGACGAGAAAGACGAGCAAACGGGGAATAAGTAAGGCTTTCTGGGCGGTTTGGCCACAGTTCCTAGCTCACACGCAGGTGCGTCGTTCCGGGAGCGAGTCTACCTGTGCGCTACAGGCGGCGGCGGC